TTACCCATAACGATAAGAACTCGAAATTAAGATTTTACACATTCTAAAGTTTTTTCATTAATAATGCAGTAAAATCGTTTCGGGTTTATGGTGAAAAAAAAAATTAAAAGGCGAAAGCAAGAAGCTTATGTTCCGCTGTAGTCGAATCTATTATACCCTCACTACTTTCCTCATAAAAAAGCTAAAAAAGAACACGAAAAACTAAATTTGCGTATTCGATGAATGATTTGTCCGTTTGTAGTGTACATAAGAGAATATTTATCGTGTATATATTGCAGTTCATGAGTAACGAGCAAAAAAGCAGAGGTGTTCTTAGTTTATGCTTGGACTATATCGATATGTCCTATTTTACGTGAGAGAACTTTCAATATTTCTGTCATTGGTTCTTTTTTGTTTACCACAAGCATTTCATACATGGATAGACGCATAGGCGTAAAGCAATTACGAATTTGATTTTGATTAAGAACATTTGCAATTTATTGCGTTTATTATTCGGGTTTTTAATTGGCGTTGCAAACGTTTTACGTTCCGTTGTATCCCCGAACTTGAGTAGCAGACCAACAAAGAACAAATTTCATAATGGTGAACAATTGCGTTATAAACTGTTGCCTTTTGTTACCGCCGGTTGGGTAATCCATTCAACACAAGAAGATTGTTTTTATCTTAAATAGTTTCGTGAAAATTTTATAAATTGCTTTTGATTATAATGATGACCTTTTTCTTTCGCTACATCTAGCACTTCTTGTTTTTGTAAAATAAAATAATAAGAAAAAAGTAGCAGAATACAATACAGAAAAGAAAAATGTTTAATGTTGAAAGCTAATTTTTGCTATATTCTCTATGTACATTCAGTTTGTGAAGGGAATTTTTTTCAGAAGTTACTAAACAATTTAAGATAGTATGAATACACAATTCTCATTGCATCAGCCAGACAAAGACATTTTGGCTATAAATTTTCAAATTATCATATTTGGAAGTCTAACGTCTGCGCATGCGTTTCAAATTTAGGTCTAAAGAAATTGAAAAGTACAACGCTTTTGCACCTGACATTGAGGAATAAGAATAAGGTTCTGGTTGCGTTCTCTAAAATCCAGAACGCGCGATAGGAACAGTCCCTATAATGTATATATTTTTCATCATCGTTAGTTTATTTGGTGAATTTCGCTTTTTGTACAATCATCTTTTATTGTTCAAATTCTCATGGTCTTGAAAATAGGTTACAATATTTGAAATTCGTGTCGAATGTCTACGAGTTGAGTTTTAAAATATTAGTATAGGTGGCTCTCAAAATAAGCAAAATTCGCAAAAAGTGAATAATTAACATTTTACAAAGTACGTATATTATGATGAGAATCCCGCCGCGATTAACCGTGAATGATATACTAAATACTTTATCAAATTCTTAAATATCTATTTAGTTATTTGACTGAATTTGTCTCACTGATTTAATCCCTGCACGGCTCGTATTTCTATTTTATATAGTACACCATTTGTGTTACAGGGAATATTAGTGGGATGTAACAGGTAGAAGGGCTTAAGAGGGTATTTAATGGTGTGAGTGTTCATATTGGTTTAATTAAAGACAGGTTGTTTATATTAAAGATGTATTGTTAAAATTATATCAATGCTGTTTTGTCGGCGAACGTAAATTTAAACAATTTTTTAGATGAGTAAATTTTGGAAAAAATAATGTCCGACAAGCGTGCTTATGCCTACTGTTACTATCCCTTTGCTACTGGCTGCTTTGTCTGCGCTCCATCCGTCCACAGTTGCTTTACATTAACCTCGAGTTCATGTAACCATAGCTCCCTTCCTCGTCTTACTTTTTTGGGTGGATATGTGGTCGCCTATCTTACCTATCCCAAGCATCATCAAGAGACAAATCATTCTAGTTATTCCCTCAGTTCTGCCCCGTTTCTTTTATTCCGCAAGAACTATTCCTAATTATTTCTTGTCGAACAATGATTTCATCGAGAGGTATTTGTCGACAGATATTCTCTCTGTGTACTTAAAACGCTTTAGCACATCCCGAAGGTAAGCATCTTAATCTACAGCTCCATCTTCGTTTCAAATTTATTTCCCACAGAAAACTTTGAAACTGTCATTAAAAAATCTTTTATGCCATGGAGATCTTTAAGTAGCTCACAATTGTGATTTTTTTACCTTACTTTCTTAACTTATATTCAACTTTTTCTTAAATCTGTCATGTAGTTGTCGCTTCTAAACCAACCTGCTATGTCGTAACGATGAGTTTTTTTCATTTACGGCACATCCCCAGGCGTCTCAATGATAATTGTGCTACCAACTTTGCCATCCAACAGACTTGGTTTATTTACCAAGATGGTATATGTTTTAAGTTATCTTCAATACCAGAAAACTCCAAATTTTTATGCTGAAATGTTTTTATCTTAGCTTTGTAAATTTCTTCGACGTAGTTTTCCTTTTACCAGGATCTTCATTCTTTCGAACGTAGCTTACAGACGACGTACCTCGTTGAACATCTTTAACATATGAAAACCTACTTTTATCCATCCTCCACCTCCCCATCGAAGAAGTTGTTCTCTGTTGTTTACGAAAGCACTTCAATTCCAAAAGAATAACGAAAACAAACTATTTAGAAAATACACTAAAGATGGCTCTGCGTGTAAATAAATACTTTCAATATTTACATTCTAACAAGTGGTCGCTCATTCACTTCTCCGTTAATTTGCCAAAATTCGAAGTTCGCTCATTCACTTCTCCTTTAATTTGCCAAAATTCGGAGTTCGCTTGTTTACTTCTCCTTTACATTGCCAGAATTCAAAAAAAATTCTTGGAAATTGTTGAATAAACAAATTTGCTCTTTTCCAACTTAAAGAAGAACTCTTGTGACACTGGCTGTATCTTTTATACCCATCATCGTTATACTGAAAAAGACAAAAAAGCAAAAGAAAGAAATTTTCATGCTCTATAATATGACGTGGGCGCGACTGATTTTTTTCATTTTTAAATAAAAGTTTGCACCACATAGCCTTGTGGGCATTGTAGGCTTGTTCTTTGAAAAGTTTAGGTCAATTTCAAATTCTTTTGCAAATCTGTAGGCGATATAGTCATTTTCGATTCGGGAGAATCTTTACCGCAGGCACTACACAATTGGGCAGACGGACATATTTCCTTTAGTATCGTTTTTCGGCAAAGTGACCGTATGACAACATCGATACGATTCTTAAGTTTGTCATGTTGGTTAGTTTTGTCACTTTGTTGGAGAAACAATTTACTTATTTCATTGTACAAAAGTGGAATCTACCATGAAGGCATCTTCAAACCAACATTTCTACTAAAACGTGTTGCACGAATTCGTTTTTGTACAAATCATCTGTTTATACGCTTTTCAAAACATTCCTTAGCAGACTATATGTAATATGAATAATGGGGCTTTAAGCCGTATGATTTATATTTTCGTTGTCCCTCGTATTAGTAATATTGATAATTTCTTACCTCCCTAATATTATGTTATTTTTAACACCATGATCTTTGATAAAATTCGTGACCCCAGATGTCTTCCAACACAGACATTTAGAATTCTTCTTATTTGTCATGTTCACTAAAGATTCCACTTTCTAAACACATTTGGACTCCGAAAATATTCTCTTGTTATAACTTAGAATCGTACTCTTGTCTCCTCTATTTCGATTTAGAAAGTTTAGTAACAAGGTTCTATGAGATTATGTCCCAAAAAATGCAAGAAACCGTCATTAGACATAAGAAATGCATTCACTACTGAATAGTTTTTTGATTCATATATGATTCGTATTGGTTCATTCATTCATCGATTTACATTGATCAAAAAGATCTTTTTAAATTGCATGTTGCATATTGAGCCCTCCATAAACAAAACTAGGTGGTAGGGTTCATTAACGTTCGTTAAGAGTGTACGGAGATCCATCCGTATGTTACAAAAAGATCTTACGTGAGCTTGGTTAGAGCAACAATGTGCGTTTATTGTATTAGGATAAACATAAAAACAATGCGGACGTTAGTATGGTCGATTTTTTCAATTTTTTTTTAAATATATTTTTGAAGATAAATCTTTTCCATTGTGTCGTTGCTAATTAACGATGCGGAGTCGTGGATTTGGCTTTTGCTTAAAACCATTTGTAAAAAGAATATGTCAACCATTATTTTGCAACAAGTAACTTTTCTCTGCGATTAGTTCTCTGAAGACGATATTTGACGTACATTCCTTTTTGTATGTCGAGAGTGAAATATAGCAGGTGCTGTCGTTTTAGCTCCACGATGGTCTGAATCTAAATTTTACTTTTTCTAACATTACAAACATCTACTTTGTTTTGAAATTTCATTAAGTCCGCTTCCGAAAAAATCAGGCTAATTTTTATAAAATTCATCTTCCATTTGCCCTAATCTTTATTCCTATTCTCAAAAGGATGATTCATAAAGTAAGCATATCCTCGATTAGCATAGCGTTGTAAGTCAATTTAGCTAATTCTGTCTGTGTATCCGTTCGTCTGTCTGTCGTTGCGTCTATCTACAAATGCGTATTTCTTTGGTCTTGTCGTTGGAACGCTCACGTTAGTCGAAACTGGAGAAGGAAGTTGAAACTTGTTGGGCGTGAGGCTCCCACAGCATGGGCTGGATTTGATCATGTAATTGCAAGATAGCATTTGACCACTTTTAAGGAAGTTTAAAGCCTCAGAGGCCACCAGAAGTTAACAAAAGCTAAATGAACTTGAGCAAAGAGAATCGAAGGGAACTATAGTGGTGTGAACTTTAATAAATAATTTCACGGTTCTCTACAGGAAACGGAAGTGTAAAGAGACCGGTATAAATTTCATGGGAACAATATGGGCCATATAAAGTTAGAATTTGATTGCTTTTGGTCCAGACAAAATTGGCCTTTTTCTGTCGATGTTGGCTGTGAAAAAGCGATAATACCTTCAATAAAAATTTCTTTTTATTTCATTTTCTTTTGTAGCCATTTAAACGTCAACAATAAGAAATTTATTAAAATACTGTGCTTTGATTTAAAATTTCTAGAGGTCAATGTGCCTTTTGTTATTGTGATGTAAAGTCGCAGCTGCAACAACGGGCACTTTCATATGATTCAATGTTAGTGTTTTTGTTTCACTTAAACTCCTTCGAGATTTTAATGAAAGCGTTGTAGCTCCTTTCTCTAACTTGAAGGCAATTTCTTCTGTTAACATATTTTGATCAGCTGTCAGAAACCATTTTTGATAAACTTCTAAGGGATCTAATTGCCAAAATTTATGAAACGATATCGGTGCTTCCAATTGCAACAGCTCTGGAGCGTAATCATGAGGTCGAGCCTGAAAAAATGTAAATGTAAAAATTTATTATAACTTTCTATTTTCATATTTTTATTGAAAAAACGCACTTGATGAAAGCGCATTGAGTGTACAGTTCTCAGTTGAAGTGAGTGTAAACAAGAGCCCAAAATCATATCATCAGGTGCCGAGGGTGATGGACACTTACAATGATTTATAATGAGTCGAAGAGTTGGCAAGCTAAATGCAATACCACCGCCACCCGTTATGTAATTGAAGCCGTCAAGAGCATGCAAACGATAACCGTAACGTTCGCCAAGATATATTTGATGCGAACTATTAAAGCAGCCAAGTATTTGGCAAACACCAGACACACTATGCATAATAAGGGAAAGAAAGAAAAGCAAAAACTATTTGTATACTTTTATTATTTTGTTATTTCGAACATGAGCAGGAAGACTACGTGTTGCGTTCATGTACAGTTCATTCATTATGGGTGGAATGAAAAACGAAAAGCATGAGCTCAATCCCATTGAAACATAGAGAAAATTAAAATAAAATTCGAAAAAAGAAAGGAAATAAAATGTGAATCTCGAAATCAATGGCTTTGTAGTTAAAACTGTGTGAAATCAATGAGGCGCATGGCAATAATCCCACTTTGAATAAATTGGAATTTTAATTGAAAATCCAAGATTTATATAAAAAGTAAGAGAAAATAAAGAGTGAATTTTGAATTTCCACAAACTTAAATAAGTATTATAATACATATAAAAATTATAACTTTTAATAATTCTGACCGGAGAAGAAATCTATCGCCCTTTTAGAAGGCACTAATAAATACTTATTGGAAATATTGGATCGACATTCGCTGCATTTAGCAACAACAACGTTTTGAAATGGTTGTTCCTTTTCCTATAGATGCTCTGTGGGTTTAAGATCAAATTCGGACCGTAAACACGCCATCAACGGGGATGGTTTTCCGGATAATGAAACGAATGAATGTGCAATAAGTATTAGGAAAACTGTTGATTAATCAATCATTTTGAAATATAAATTAATTTTTGTAGTAAATACGAGTTTTCATTTCTTAAACTATCGTATTGTTATCCATCATCACAACAAGAAGATTTCAAGCGTAGTAAAGACTGTATCGATACTCTTCTGCACATAAATTGTTTCGGAAACAAAGCAATTTTTAAAAGGAATCATGTTACAAATCTTTCAGTTGATTTCCAAAAAAAAATTTGATATGGTGGATCTTCATGTTATTTCAAGCTCCATGAAATCATGGAGTCTTGGATCCAAACTTTTTAACTACGTCAAATAATTGGTGCCGCATCGGTGTTTTAAAGTTGGAGTTAGCAATAATCTCCTTGGTTCTTTTTCGCTAATGAACGGCATTCTACAGCGATGTCCCCTTTCTGTCATGTTTTTGCAGACTGATTTCAAACCTCCTCTAAAATTGAACATTGTGGACGATGCATAAATTTTAACAAGGGAAAAAGATAACACAAAAACAATCAACGTCCTCGAATCTATTTCGTCAGGGATTGCAATTCGGGCAAACTCATTAGGCTCAAAAGTTTCGAGATATGTACATTGATATTTTATCAACACTGTTATAGCTAAAATTGGAAAAGAAGAAGGTGGTTGCTTGAGGAGAAGTCCAGCGTAATCACATGTATCCCGAAAATGCTTCAACTTGCACAACCGAAGCCAATAATATCGTTCAAGCTGTGAATCTTACTCGTAAAAAATAAAAACTCTTCTTCTTCTTCTTCTATTCTTCTTGATAATTTTTGTATAGTTAAACCTCGATGAGCTTACACTAAAGATTTGAGAGTGTTGTTATCAAATTTATCGGTCGTTCATTTCGAAGCCTGTCGGAAATACCATAAGCAGCAATGTTTCTGGAGCAACATTGATACTTGTTCTTCATCTTCATATAAATCTCAATTTTAAAAAGGTATGCAGTGAAAAATGTGACGTTGCCATTTTATTACACGATTATACAAAATGTTATACTTTTTAGGACATTTTTTATACAGAAAAAGTGTAAGGGAATATATATTTCCATTTTTTAACTAGAGACTAAATAAATTTTTTGCAAATAATTGATTTGTTCTGAATACCCTTAGTATCGAATGTTGATGATATATTGATATTTTGCTTTATGAAAATTTCGATGTATATGCCTGGTTTAAACCAAATATACAAATATTCCGTCAAAATCAATGCACTGAGCTTCCTAACTTTAATTACATTAGGGTTCTTTGAGAAACTTTACAAAGTAGCATTTATGATTTTTTAGAGTGATTATTAACGTTTTAAACACGAATATATCGTAAGGAATCAAGTGACATGTTTGAAATATGCGGCATACCGACATACTGGCTTTACATAAATATATATATATATATATATTTTTTTTTTTTCTTTATTTTATATATTTAATTTTTCTTTTTTTCGTAGATTCTATGGTGACATATACTTTCGGCGGTGTCATTTACTTTCGGCGGTGAGATGTACTTTCGGCGGTGTCATTTACTACAACACGTACGCCTTTAGACTCTGCTCATTCTACGTTCTCCTCCTTACGTCATTTTTACGTTCAAATGGTGATAATAAAAGGAGAAGATACAAATACTTTATTTTTTGTCAACCTTTTTGATCGATTCAAAATAGTTTCGCTCACTCTTGTCTGAGGTCTGTCAGTCCGTCGATCTGATGTCTTTCAATATGTTCAATCTATTTTAAAATATTTGAGATATTTTGACAAAAGTCGGCACACTGACGTGCTTTGTCAAAGTTCTGTTAAAAATTTGTTATAATTGGATTAAAATAAACCTTTCTACGGAAAAAATGCCTAATTTTTGAGTATTTATGGTGAAAATAGCTCCACATCAATAATTTGATGTAAAAGTTAATTGTACCATAATTGAATTTAAACGTAAGCTTATTTTTTTGGACCGTTTCTGTATATAGCGACAACATCAAATTTTTATTACTTTATGGCGACAATAAGTGAAAGATAGACAGAACTTCAAAAGAACATTAATTTTCCTGAGCTTAAACCACGACATTTCATGTTCTTAGCCTGTTCTCAAGAAAATTATGCCTTTGTATGGAAGCAATGTGTATTTTTTGGTATATTATAGCCAAAAAAAAAATGAAGAAGTGTATTTAATTGCCGATCTTGCTTGACTATAAGGTTATTACTTATTATACCTTAAGCCACGTGTGGTATAAAGGTATATTATATTTATGCGGAGGTGTGCAACACCCAGAGAAACTCGACTTTGATTTGTTTTGTATTATACCGACCGATTAAAAAGCTGTCTTCTTTTTTTGTGTCAGCAACCCGAAATTTTTGAGATATTTTGATGAAATTTGACATGAAATCTGAATTGTTCGACCGATGAACGAACGCTATCGAAAACTGTTCGGATTGCTTTTCCAATCCCTTTCCACATAACGTCTTCTTTTAAATAGTCGTTATATCACAGGCGCCTTTATAATTGATTTTATTCGAAGTAGATGTTTCATAAACCAGTTGTTTTCATATTCTTCCTGATTGAACGGTTACTGTATCAGAGGGTAGGTGATTCCAACGCTTGCTTACCTCTACCTGATTTTGCGAACTTAAAATGAACGAAAATTGAAGTAACGTACGATCATTTGTCGTGTGTCAGATATTCGTCTGTTACATGTCTGATATTCGTTTAGTGGTCTCTCTTCTAATAAGTCTGGCTATCAGAGGGTATATATCCGCACGTTATCTACAAGCACGTACATATCTTTTAGCTTTCCTAACTGCCCCTTCTCCTACCTTAGCAAAAAAATTACAAATTTGTGCACAGAATTACCCAGATGCGCTAGTAAATTTATCATCGCAGTACTTTTCAGCATCTATCGATTTATGTGTTCTTTTTTTTCCGGAATTTAGTTTTTTAGAAAGTGGACTAGTTTTCACGAAGCTTTCTACCGACGATGTTCAATAAATTCATCAAAGCCAGCGCATAGAGAGAAGCACTCTTTAAAGTATACGGGCGACAGAATTCACATTTTCATTACTAGGAAATTATTTGCTATCGAAACTTTTTCATAGTTGGAAAGATAAAATAGAGTGTATGAGGTCCAAATATAGCGAATAAGAGGCATGGGGAAGCAATTCGAACTTTAATTCCTCGCTTTTGGCTATCACGATAGCAAAACTGCAGACTGCAAACTTTCGTTTTGGCAATCTGCAGGTCTACGTTAAAACTCAGATTAAAATCTAGCTCGGTTTTCATATTTTATGGTCTTAGGCTTTTGAAATGTAAATATTGTATTGCCCAATTTTGCTCAATTGTTTCTAGCCTAAACAGTTACTAAAATCAACAACTGATGACCATTAAATGAATATGAAAGAACAGAGAAGAAGCCACTGTATGAACATTGGGTGCTCAGCTTTCCCACTTAAAAATGTGCACGCAGGAGCGTATGAAATATTATAAAGAGAAAACATGAAATATTACAAAAAAATTTTGGCTCGATTGTAGAAGTAAGAGGTAAACATCAAGTGTAAACCAAGACCGATTTAATACCATAGCTTTTAGTTCAAGCATATTTTATTATTTTTTTCTCACTGTTTGAGAAGCTTAACTAGCGTTTGAATGTTTCAAATAATGCAATTGGATGCCATTTTTCAATGTGAGTTCAAATGATTGACAAACAGTGAAATGATTCTGACAGGCCTGAATATATCCTACAAGCACTTTTCGATTTATTATATATTGTGAATATTCTTGCTAAAAGATTGCATATCGTTCAAATGGTTTTGAAGCAAGTTATTCAAAGAGAGGACATCATGCTTAAGATAAATATAGAAGAAGCATAAAGACATTTGGTTTTGGTCACATCAGTTACAAACTTTATCACTATAAATTGTATGTGCCATTAGTTAGCGATTGAGGTTCTTAAGTTCGCAAAATTTAAAAAGGAAATTATAATTTGACTCTTGAACTGACGCAACTTTACACACTAAACTTAAAACAAGCATTTATTCAGTCATGCATCAAAAAACTGGAAAACACCGTCGGAATATTTATTCTACGTTGTGGATTTTTAAAGTGAATTAAAGTCTGATTATAAGGAGGGTGATAAATGCTTTCAAGTGTATTGAATGAATGACGTGAATTCTTTGGTCGTTGAATGTTAAGTTTAAAGTTTAAAAATTTATGATTATTTGCCATAAAATTAAAAAAATGTAGTCTTACTTCTAACGCACAATTTTCGAGTAAAGCTTTCTTACCAATTGAATTTTTCTACTTCAGATATTCTTTAAATTATCTTTTTCCATGATGTGGACAAAATTTAAAGGCGGACGATGCGTTGAGTCATTAATAAGTATGTAAATTAAGTTTGTATAGTGTTACCTTAATAAAGTGTCATCATCTGCAAGAAACAACCATCTGATGATGTTCGGTTGATTGGCAGGCCAATATTGTTGCTTTTGTCGATTAATTTGCTCAATATCTTTCAAAGCTAATTGTAAAATGGCTAAAGTTTTGGTGCAGTGCCCTGTGTCAGCATTAGGTACACCCGTATCAATGGTGGGCACTTTAACATCTAGAAAACATTCACAACATTCACATAGATAAATATGAATTTCGTGTACATAAGTTCATCAACATCATCACATTGCACATTAATGGTACTGATGTGCATCTGCGTACTGCGTTCACTATGATTAAATATGCACATCCTGAAGTTTATTAGTATATGGATATGTTCGTGTTTGTGTATTAGTAAATTCTTCAATATCCAGTTAGTTGTTACACGTACATATTGATAGACTCGTAGTCTCTTTCTTTCTCTGTCTCTGTGGTATTGTTTTAGTTTAGATTTCTTAATTGTTCAGCTTCGTTTATATTTGTATATTTGCATTATATATATATATATATATATATATATATATATGTACGTATATATATATATGTACGTATATATATATATATATATATACGTACGCCAGACTTGCTGGTCTTCTGGAATACATAATGAAGTTCAAAACTGTGCATATTTATCTAAATGTTTGTATATAAGTGCGGTTGACCCATTCTTTCGTTTGTTCCCTCATTTCTTCTATTCTTAGCTAACTTACCTGCGACATCACTGAAATATTTAATATGCTTAGCATATTGCGCCCAAGTGTTTTGTATTACTTCTAGTCGATCATTGTAGTATTTGGAACAAGTTTTTACTGCAAAATAAACTTCTTCCCGTTTTATTGGAATCTAAAAGAAAAAAATTTCTTGATAAGAGTTTATCAAGAAGTAAAAGAAAATAAATTTTTACTCGGTATGTTAATGGGAATGTGTGTAAAAAATGTAGAAAAAAATTACAAGTATAAACTCGATATCATTTAGTTAGATAAGATAGGCTTTCATCTACAAAATGGATATTACGAGCCAAAAAGAGCAGAGGGGTTATAAGTCGGACGAAATTATGTAGTTTGCGTTGTTTATTCTATTTGATGCACATTTTACTTGCTTTGTAGTCTTATACAAAATAAACAGAGAGGCAAAAGAGGTATTTAACCGCGTGCTGGTAGTTCTGGGCCCTAAGTTCATAATATTTGGCGACAATAAAAGTTTAGCGACCGAACGGAGGCTTCAAGCGGCCGATGGAGAGTCACGTAAACGGACAGATTACCCTTCTAGTCAGGAGTATAAAAAATCAACGGATATTTACGGTATTGAAACAGTTATGGTGCTGTCGCCGGTTAATAGCGTGCTTTTAGTGTTATTAATTACGATTACTCATACGCTGTGTTATGCTTTTAACTCTCTAATGTACGCGCGTCAGTTATTTTTTCTTGTCAAGATATAAGATATCAGATAAAAACAAGTTATCAAAAGAACCGAACAGGAAGGTTATCAATTTCCATTATGCACATTTCATAGTGTGTGAAATGTATGTGCAACGTGTGTTGACATTTGTAGCTAAATGATATTTATTCCCTAATGGGTGACATACAGTTTTCCAATGTGTTTGCGAACGTTTTTTAAGCAAGAGTACTTACACATTGCATTGTGTAGGAGGGCTGAGCGTGCATGGCGCACTTGTTGTTATCGAGACTGCCATTCCATTTGGCTTTGGGGCAAATGTATGCGGCTTTCTTCATAATGATTTTTCGCATTTTCATTAAATATCTCTTTTTGACAACATTTTCTATAATTTTGCTAGTGTCGCTTGAAGCTGCTGCTGATGTCTGTTTTGCATTGACAGGTAAGCTTAAGTTATCGTTTTTCAATACCTTTGTTACTGCATGCTTGGCGGCGGTCTCTTCTATTATTTGTACATTATCATAAATGAAACGAGCTAACTCGTGTGCTGCATCTATACTAAATTCAGAATGTGTTGAATGCTGTTGATTGCTGTTGCTGTTGCACAGATGACGATGTTGATAATGGTAGGGTAATACGTTTGCTATCCTTTTTAATTATGTAGGTATAAAATATGCCAAAAATATGATATATGTAAATTAATTGCTAGGGTTTGCGCGTGCAAAGTATATATGCCATAAACAAAATTCTTCTCAAATAAATTATCGCAACCAGGAGACATTTTTTGTTGTTGTTGTTTTTGTCAACCGAAGCCTTGCTTAGCATCATATTCATATATCATTATTGTTATTAAATTGTGATCTCACCTTTCAAATAACGCTTTGCTAAATATTACTCCAGCTTGCAGCATAGGGTATGGAAACCAATCGGGATTTTCGAAAAAAGCAAAATGATGTACTATCGTCGGTTCTGGATCGTGTAAAGTGTATCCAAAATACTGAATCTTAAAAATATGAGCATAAATTTGATTTAGTCTAGTTTCATTCTCTCACACTAAAAAAAAAAGAACGCTTTTAATAAATTCGAGGGAAATTACACTAACAGCATAACAAAAAATAAAAACTTTTCATACCCACCATTGTAAGATGGGTGTGTACTCATTTTGTTTTTTTTTTCCATAATGTATGTAACACACAAAAGGAAGTTTCAAAGGCCTTATAAAGTATATATATTCTTGATCATGGTGATTTGGGTTGATATAGCCATGTCTGTTTGTGTGGCGTTTGTTGTTGACACTCTCCTGATTGAGAAAATAATTATATCGACTTTAAATGCGGTAAAATCATTGGAAGTTCTTGCAGGCAGGTTTGTATTGGAAATGAGCCAAATTGGTCAGCGCAGAAGACGGCAGTGGAGTATAAACTGAACGCAACTCCATATTTTTAACAGCACTTTGTGAATTTTGTTCGTTACTCAGAAATCATAGAAGTTAGAGGCCTGAAATTTTCCACATATATTTTACGAAACACGCTAGTCTTTGATGAGAAATGCAAAAAAATCGACCATGCCCACGAAAAGTTACAAGTGATTCAATTATCTTTTTTCATTTTTTTTAAGGTTTTACAGTTATTTATCATGACCCAAACTAGACAAAATATTTAAAACTATTTTATACATTGCTCAAATGAAGATGCCTAAAAATGGGTTAATTCTAAAATGAATACGATAGACACAGCGATTATTTCTTTCTTAATAATACCAGCGATATGGTTATCAAATAAGACAATTTGGAGAGTATAATGCGGAAAGCATAGTGATAAATTTCCGAAGTAGAGGAGAATGAGGAGAAAGGAAAATTTTTATATTAAAATTCTTTCAAACGAGACTAAAAACTCTGTTATAGCGTTAAAAAGTTTAGCGGGTGACATACAGTAGATGCGTATATGTACCTGTTTATGATTTTCTTTACTTAGTTCAGTCATAAGTTTATTTAACTTTATGTGTGTGTTATGTGCACAAAATGCAATCCATCTGGTATTGTCGTTGATTAGTTGGTGATATTTCTGTTGCATTACAAGTTGATGTATAACATTTAATATAGCCCATTCCCCAGGGTTATAGTTGTTGTTGGTATTATTATTGCTAAATAATGTGTTAATCATATGTACATTGATACGGTACTCTGGCGGCAAAATGAAGCTTTCCTTGATTAGATCTTCTCGAAGATTTCGGCCTGCTTGATGATAATATTTACCTTCTTCACTTTGAATGAGGAAGAGCACTTCACTTGGCCCTATTATAACATAAAGGCGATAATGTTTATTTTCATTAGAGTCTTACACTTGAGAATATTTGTAAAATATAAATTCGTATCATATATAACTATACATAATATCAATAGTCTCGCAATAAGGCTTTACATACATTATCCATATATACATTCAATGCAATTTAATTCAATTACAAACAATAGATTGATAATATCGTTTATAGAAGAATTGTGTCCATTGTTCACATACACTAAATTGTTATAATATTTGCATTTTGCTGTTGTAGTTATTCATATTATGTGAGGAAATATATATATATTATACATCTTAAATTAAATCTATGTAAATCCATTTGTATCAACCAAATGAAGGACATAAATTTGTTTGCAAATATTTACAAAAACATATGTTAGCAAAGCAAAATACTAATGACTTTCTAAAACGAAGTTCTTCACATATACTTGGCATGCATAAGTATTTGTAAAGATGTAAGCCTCAATCAAATCGAGAAGTAGGTTTAAAATATGTATCTACATATACACCTTTATGGTCTGGTGTGAAAACCTAATATGCAATCTCATTTTACTGTAAGATTTTCCCTATCCCCACGAATGCTTATAACCCTATGGCGCAATATTTACATCCTAAGCTCGCATTCCTTCGAATAAGCATGAGAATATGCCTTGATTTTGTATTCTCTTATTTTCAGGTCGTTCGACTGGTTGCGTCTCCCCTTTTCTGGCCCTTTGCTTGCCGTTCGGGTTATTGCATATGACTAAGTCAAGCATAGTTCGTGCAAGGGACAGTGAATTGAAAAAATGGTGTTTAGTAGTGAAAGCGCACATGCTTAGCATCGACCGTAATGTCTGTATATAAACACATAAATGCGATTATATTTCAGAGTTGCTGTGTTTTGAGCGAAGAATAACTCATAATTTGAGCAAGCTTTGCGAAAGAAAGGGAGATGAAGAGAGAGGAGTCGGAGAAAGGCGAATGACTAAATGCTGTATATTAGCGATCTACGTCGAATCACTGCTTGTTCTTAACAGATAGACTTCTTTTAGGTACGAATAAGCTTCCGATAGTGGATTTAATCATGCACGTTGGGTGACCGATGGCACGTTCTTGTTAGCATCAATTTCATGTCTTAACTATCAGTGAACGTTGTTCAGTAATGTATCTATTGCCACTCGTTGTTCCGAGAGAGGTTGCTTCATTGTTTTTCGTAACCCTTAAATGCATATTGATTCCGGTTGCCTACATTCCAGCTTCACTTAATTCTCAAATTAAATTTTCAAAACAACTTAAATAAAAAAATTTAAAATAAATTAAAATTGGCAACAATACGCATATAAGGATTAAAATAAAACACTATACAAGGGTTGCTCCAAAAGGAGATATGAAGTTTTAAACATAGAATCGCAACTGTATTGTGTTGCATTTAAGGTTTAAGTTTAGAGCCACAAATGCACGCCAGTCACGCCGCTAGATATTTTTTAAATAATCATGATCTTGCTCGTGCATACTCAGCATGCAGTCAGCGAAAGTATTTGAATATCTTTAGTTTTTACTTGGGAAGCACCAATGCCATTTGCATCATGATAGTCTCAAAAGAGACGCATCTTCTTCAAAGCTTCTATACTTCAATTAATATATTCACTTCCGACGGTATTGCTCTTTGCGTTTGCAATGTCTATAGGAATAAACCACTTTGTAAAATGGGTGTTTCCTTGATCAACGTTGGATTGTAGACCGATTTGAAGTAGCCCATCTAACTGTCCTTTGAAGTCTGTTTTTGGAATTGTCATTGGCGAACATAACGCAGAAAACGCAAAATTAGAATTTAAATGTACACGTAATTCCCCCAAAGAACTAATCGGATATTTTCATATATTGGTGAAAAAGCCCATAAAGAAGACTTGAATACGAGAAAAAGAGATTTTTAAATGTGAAATGCAGATCGTGAACGTAGAGGTTTAGTTTTAAGATATTATTACTGCGTTTTGTTTTAAATGAAAGACCTATATTAATGAAAAGAAAGAAAACCTGGATATGAAACCGTATATTTTTGGTCTTTTCAACGATTGCCATATAATATTACAGTAAAGGCGCTATGCGTTTAAAAACAAACATAGAAAATATAGAAAATCTATATATGAATCATCAAACCTAAAAAGAACTCATAGTCCACAGAATTTCATTTTAACACTGGTTAAATTTTCATCATTGTATTGGGAATACTGCTATATTTATTTTGGGAGATATATAAGCCCAAGAGAACCAATGCAACACATAGAGAAGAAGGTCTTTAGAAATAAAAGTACACATTATGCTGATCATTTTCAGAACATCAGAACATAAAACTCTTAAGAGTTTGGATACGTACGTGGTCGCAAAATATTTTCCAAATAGAAGGGATAACCAAATAAATAAATAAATTTGCAATGAAGGAAATCTTTCGTTCTTTCTCACTATTTAGCCCGCGAATTGATTAATTATAAATCAAATTACATTATGGTCACTTGAAATAAATTCCTGCAATATTGAACTTTCGAGTTTTCATATATAATAATAAATAAATATTCTTTCCATTAACTTACCTACGGCAAATGAGGCAAACATCGACATTAAAATAAATAGATTTTTTATAATATTCATTGCAATCAATAGGCAGTCTACGAAGGCAATTGAAATGCCTCCTGCTTGACTCTAATTTAAACATTACAACGTAGAAAACGCATTTGTTTTTGTTGTTCAAGAGAAGCAAAAAACTTTATAATGTTTATTATTAGAGCAAATAATTGTACTTGAATGCCACAGTATATCGCATATGCACACATTCAAGTGCAATTTAAGCAATTGCCATAGCTGTCGTTTTTCTCGAGATAGGCTTTGGCAAAATAATCGCAATCGAATTACACATGACACGTGCTTACTCGAACAGATCTAAAGTAAATATAAAATCATTAAAATTTCAACACCTTATTATCGTCATAAATTGAAATTGAATGTTGCCGCGAATTATACTGCTAAATCCAATGTAAGAGACTTGGAAAACAAGAACACATTTGTATTGACAATATCGAATCAAAAAAGAAAATTTGCACTTGATTTCAATGCAAATTCGGCACTTTCCATTAATTTTTATTACAATCTGCACAGTTTATTTATCGTGAACACGTGCCAGCCACTTTGCAATTGCTTCCAATGCAGGTAGACTTCGCCACTTCTATGTGCCACAATCAACTGCTGACGACGACTGTTTGTAAACATTGTTAACCATTTCAAAAATTTATATCTCTTAAAAAAATGTAAATGCATATTTTCACTCAGAACTGAGTCGTTGTGTATTACGCCGAATCGAAAATTTCTATTTTCTGAATGAATTAAATTTTGAGCGAAAAGCGTTTGTCAAATATGTGCTCAATTTTTAAAATTTTTCTAACGTGCAAGCTACCGAATGTTTTACGAAAATTTTTTAACGCAACGGAGATATGCAAAAACATAGTCAAAGTTATATGCGATTCCTTTTCATTACGATCTAATTATCGAGGAAGAAGAAGTCAGTTAGATCCAATTAAATGTTATCAATGTAATCCTCTCTACTCCATTGTATGCTCGACAATAAATAAATATTTATACAAATTTTAAATAAGGGACAACATATTAGTTTGGGAAAAAAGAAATCCATTATTTTTATATGAACTTCAGGACTTTATTTAACATGCTTCGGATTGTCCGATTTGGGTGAAATATGCACCGTTTTGTTGTATGATTTGTTGACATTTTAAAGGTAACTTCAAAATGCCTCTCTTATAGAAGTCCTGGTCTCTATTTGCAAAAAACTCTAGTAGTCGATTTTCACAATCCTCCCTAGATTCCAATTTTTTATCATTAAAGAAATTTTGCAACTCATAATAAATAATCCCCTTCCAGTCCCACCAAATGCATAGTAAAACCTTCCTGGCCGTTTGAGGTGCTTCACCGCTCTTTGACCACGATCGTTTTCGCACAGGGTTATCGTATGTGATCCATTTCTCATCTCCAGTCACCATCCGTTTAAGAAATGGGTCTATCTCATTCCGTTTGCCCAAGGTTTCGCAGATGGAAATTCGATCCATCATGTTTTTTTCTGTTAATTGGTGTGGCACCCAAACATCGAGCTTCTTTTTGAATCCAGCTTTGTGTAAATGGTTTAAAACTGTTTTATGGTCGATTTTTAGCTCCTGGGCGATGTTACGACTGCTAACATGCCGGTCAACTTCGATCATTTCTCCGATTTTATCGACATTTTCGACGACCGGCCTACCTGTGCGGGGTGCATCTTTAACATCAAAAATTCCTGAACGGAATCTACGAAACCAAAATTGCACATAATTGGCTGTTACAGTATCGGAACCATAAACACCATTCACAATTTTAGCCGCCTGGCTTGCATTTTCGCCTTTGTCAAAGAAAAACTGTAAAATGTACCGAATTTTCTCTTTGTTCACTTCCATTTTTAACACGCTGTAACTCACAACTGAATGCACCAAACAAAAAACAGCAAAAGAATTTTTTTTACTGCGAAATGTCACCTTTCCAACGAGCATAAATATGAAATTGTTTGATCGATACTTTACGAGAAATCTATCAGTGCAGCCATCTACCGAAAAAATAATGGATGTCTTTTTCCCCAAACTAATTTTAATATACAAAGTAGGTGGCAGACCAGAAGATTTTGAACCATCTGTGTATAAAAGGTTCCAACCGTTAGCCTCCAGTGTTTTGGTTTTTTCAGCTATTAGATTCCTGAAGACGTGCCTTCTTTCTAGTGCTTAGACAGCGAAAAGTTAAAAGAGTGGGCTTTCAAAATCCATGGGGGTTTAAGACAAAAATAGCAGAAAATTGTTAAGGGAATGTTCAACTCCTTTGCGACGTGCAAACCAAAGTCAATTGCAGATGGTGATTTTCGAATTTTCTGGGCAATAATAATCTTTCTCACATCTTCACCGAGAACAGATTTGTTTGATTTAAGAAGCTTGGGAACTAATTTAGCTTTTAACTCATAAAGTCATAAATTCTATTTTCTAAAGGTGGGAGACCAGTTCCAATTATAATATTATTTATGGGCGTCGTCTGAAAAGCATAACAACTTGCTCCGAGGACTTGGTGGTAGACCGGTTTGAGGATGTCGGTATTAGATTTGCAGCTATTGCTATTGCAGCTATCAAAGCATAGTCAATCTTGCATAAAACAAGCATTTTGGTAAGATAAGCAGTAGTGTTAATGTACGCATGGCTTTTCCAAGCGACGTACTGTATGAAATTTACCCTTGTTAAAATAAAATTTTTTAACTGAAGACGTGTGAACGATGGGTCGTCTGCACGTTTAGTATCGGTAAGTCATTAATACGCATCAGTAGATTTCCTGAATCGCATATCTGCTTTCGACAAATGTGCATTTTTTTTGATTTTTGTATAGAAATTTTAGCCCTTGACGAGTTTTCTCATGTGGAGACCTCTTGTCCAATAGATTCGAAGATGTTGATTGCCTTCGTGCTATCTTTTTTTTTCGTTCGCGTAGAGACAATGTTCGCCGTCCACGGCGGAATGCGATTCTTTAGCGGAAAGGAATCAGAGGGATGATTGTTAATCCTAACTTTGAACCGCCGATGCCACATGAATGATTTGATGTAGTTGAAGAATTTGGGTCCAATATTCCATGATTTCAAGACCCTTAAAATGAGATGAAGACCAACTCTGTCAAATAGTTTTTCGAAATCAATTGAGAGAATTGCTATGTGGTTCCGTTCGGAAATTGCTTTGCTTGTAAAATAATCAATGTGTAACAGAGCGTCGATGCACCATTGTTGCTTCGTAGTCAGTTTCTTAGGCTCAAGAAACGAAGATAATCTAGATACCATAATGTTTTCTAATACTTTTCAGAGGCAAGATAAAAGAGAGGTTGGACGATAATCCGATGTGATGGAGTCATTTTTTGACTTTGGAATTGGAACAACTGCTGCCAGTTTCCACGTGTAGGATATATTTCCATCCAAAAATACCATATTATATAGGTCCAGTAATTTCTTTTTACTTGAATTAGAGAGAGCAATGATGATCTGGTATGAGGTGTGGTCTGGACTCTTCGATTTGAAGAGAAAACTTTCAAATTCTAGGGTAGATATGCAATTTTCCAATCCTTTTATTTTCGATGAACGCAGTGGAAGAAATGCTGTGAGCGAAGTATTCGCACCACACTTTTTCAAGGTAATTAGAAATCTCATCGCGTCAATTAAAGTCCCATTGGGAGCGCAGATGTCAGAAATTTCGTTCAAATTTGAAGTCCCATTAAGTCTGTTGATTTTGTTCCAGACAACTTTCATCGATGTATTTCTGTGAATTCCTTTCGAAAAAGTAGATCATCAGAAATAGGCCACAAAAACAAAGAAAGAAATGACGGAGAGCTGTATGTTAAATCAATATGTGAAAAGGTGTGATGAGTTGAAAAGTGCGTCGGTTTTCCATCATTTTAAATGAAGAGCGTGCTTTGAATGAAGGCCTTCTCTAAAACAGTACCGCAACTGTTGTTTCCTGTTGAGCCCCAAACGCTGTACCACTTATTAAAGTCGCCGCGTATAATTAATGGGAGGGAGAGTGCGGAGAATAAATTATAGAGTTCTTTCTGAGAAAACGGTTGCGAAGGTGAAATATAGAGTGAAAGCACTGTAAGTTTTATGCTTAAGAGTTTTTGTATCGTTTGTATGTATGAGGTTAAATTTATGCGTTTATGAGGTACATTTGATTTTATAAGATGGGTAACTCCTTGTTTGGAATATGAATTTTGATCAGTATTCGTGAAGTATCTAGTATATGAATGGGTGGAATAGGATTAAAAGAACTTCTACAATGGGTCTTTTGAAGGAATATAAAGGTCGGATTAAAATCACTTATGAGTGCACGGAGTTCATCAAAATTCTTAATAAGTCCCTTAATGTTCCTTGGTAAAAATTTTAAAAAATTTATTTAATCGTAGTGACATGGAATCGGAGTGATAGGTGGGTTAAGTGGACATGACAGCGTCTCCGTCGAAAAGGAGGATAGAAGTTTTGCGTGAATAATTTGTTCTTACCAGCAGAATAATCTGTACTTAGGTGATTGCGTACATTTGAAGTGCAACGAGTGGGCGCACGTGAATAATTTGAAATTGAACATTGATTAAGGGATGAAAGATTGGATTGCAATTTGTTGATAAGAGTTGAGAGGTGGCGGTTCTGGAGAATTTAGTTTATTACAGTTTAAGATACGTGTTGTTGTTTTAACTTTTTCAATACTTGCTTTGATATTTTCAATATTATCTTTGGAGGGTGATGGATCTGATTTCGCAATATAGTTTTTGGCTGATGAAAGAAAAGGTTTTTCGTTGGAAGGAGATGGAGTTAAAGGCTTATTAGGCTTGATTTACGAGACAGCAGCGTAGGTATTACTTTTGTTAATTCTTTGGGTTCCAGATAGATTTATTCCCCGGTAATCGCGTTGTGCTTCGCCCATGCCAAACTCCGAATTTTTAATTTTTTTTCTCGGCGGGGATTTGTCCGCTAGCAGATGAAACCTATTTGAGTTCTTATTTGGCCGCCACGAGGCCATTTTGCCTATTATTTAGTAATTTGGAAAAATAACCAGTCACTTGAAAAAGATTGGGAGCTACTAATAAAAAATGTTAATTGTTTTAAATTTTTTTTTTTTTTTTTTTCTTGTTATATATAGGGGAATCAAAAGCACAGTTCAACAAAAACACTGAAAAGACACCAGCTAAATACGAGAAAACACCAAAACAATCAAAAAATTGCAGACGGAAAGAAAACACGCACTACTCAGAACACTTTGTACGCATATACAAAGCAAACACATATTAAATGTAGATATTAAATACTTACGAAAATATCCCGACTTGTTCGTCTTTGGATCTCCTGCAACTCTTCTTCTGTTCTTTTGCACACAAAAACTTGTCATCGAAATGTAAAGATATGGATTTATACCCATAAGACAAGCATGTGGATAATGACGTTTTATTCAAGAAAAACTATACTTTAACTACATTATTTCTGATTGAGGTTTGGATCAAGTTTTATTTCAATATATTGTTTGGAAGTCGCTCTTATTCGTGAAATATGACATACATACATGTAACGAACGTAATTGTATAGGGTACAAAAATTGCTAAAACTTATTACAGAAACAATAAACCCACGGTTACCTGGTTGGATGAAGCTCATGT